TCGTGGTCATCCGACACCTGTCCTAGCCTGGCCCCCGCTAGACTACCCCCACTAGTTTTGCCTCCGACGTCCCGGGCCTTCTCGACGATTGCATATCATGTTGGATGTTGTCGTGATGGCCTCTCGGGGGCCCGCGAAGACCGCCCGGGCCCAAGGCATCCACGAGGGCCCAGTTGGGTTGCCCGCGAGGGATCCAGGCGGGCCTCAGGATGGCCCTTAGCAAGGCCGAGTTATGGGTTATGGTCCCTCGCTTGCCTTTTCTTGGTGCCCATCGCACCCTATGGGCCCATGGCCCATAACTCGAACCTCCATCCTCGAGTTTCGCACTTCGCACCTCGACGTGCAACTGCTTGCCGATCGGCCATTCGGGGCTGTACTCTCGATTTGGACGTGATGTCCCTAGGGTTTGTCAATAGCATCTTGTCTTATTCCCTGGTAAGTTGCGTCTCGCGATGTTTGGGCGTTCAGTGCGCCCTCGACTCATTCTGCTCATCCTCCACGTGCTCCTCTTCTCTTCCCTGGCCCGCGAGGTGAGCGTTTCTGACGTGCCGCAGGGCTCCTCGCCGACGGCGCCATCTCAGCAGACCCCAAGGCGGTTGCAGGGGAGGCCGAGGTCGGCGCCAACATCTGCGTCCCGAGCACCAGCACCCAAGGATCGGCTCGCCTCTCTCCCTTCTCGCCGCGCAGCTGCAGTATCGGCGGGGCAGTCGTGTCCGATTCGGGGCCCTAGGCAGTACTGTGTCGCAATCATTTAATTATTATTGGTTTTCAGGTTGTGAATTGTTTGTCGGCGTCCTGTGGGGCCAGTACCGGTTTGCGAAACAGGTACTGAGGTTTTGATTGCGTTGACTTTCCCTGTGTTTGTACAGGGATTCTGCATACAAACAAATACCAGTACCGGTTAACGAAAGCGGTACTACCCCAAACGCGTACCAGCCAACAAATCTAAACAATAATTAAATCAATTGGGTATAATTACACAATACATACATTGATTATGGAACCTCACTGCCAAACAAAGAAAACAAGCTGTGCATGATAGCGAATCGGAAACAGCGGGGGAAGCGGAGGAGGGCGGGAGGACCAGGGAGAGAGGGGGGGCGAGGAGGAGTGTAGAGGCAGATGGAGGAGTGTCAGGAGGAGAGTGCAGGACGGGGGTGCAAGGAGGAGGGGCGAGAGGGGAGGGGAGGGGGGTCAGAGGCCCACCGCGCCTCCTCGACGCTCAGGAGATGGCCGATCTGCAGAGCCACCTTCGCATCATGGTTGACAGGCTGGACCCCGAGCTCCGCATGAAGACTTGCAACGGCCTGGAGAAGTGCGGGGCCATCATGGGGGAGTTGACTATTGGCACTGTGTGTTCTGGGACCGACGTAGGTCGTTCTGGGGACTTCCATATGCACCTCCTCTCCTTTGCACTCCGGCTTGTCTTCCTTCTCTCGGTCCCAGGGGGAGGCAGAGGGGGGGAAGGGGGAGGTGGATTCTACTTACAATGGCGCTCTACGGAATCCAGGTCAATACGAAACGGTTTCGGCCTTGTCTGCGTCCTCGTCCTTTTCTACTACATTCTCCTCCTCGTCCTCGTTATCCTCATTCTAGGCGTCCTCCTCCTCCCTCTGCTTGTCCTCGTCCTCGTCGTCGCCTTCCCCCTCTTCTCGCCTCCTCCCTCTCCTCCTCCTTGCCCTCCTCCTCCTCCTTCTCTGCCTCCCCCCGCTCCTCCACTTCGCCCTCGTCCAATTCCTTCCTCGGCTATGTGGATCCCGTCTCCCCCCTTCTTCTCGGCGCAAGCTTCCCTTGCGCGGGGTCCACAGTGCAAGCGCCTACTGTGTGGGGTCTACGCCGCGTGGGGGACCATCATGATTTGATGCGTTACGAGGCGGAGGAGGAGGGGGAGGAGGAGGAGGAGGAGGAGGAGCAGGAAGAGTATGATGACGAGGATGAGGAGGTTTGAACGGGGTCATCAAATTTTGTAACGGCGTCATGCTTGTTGCTTCCCATGCTTGAATCTGGAGGATGCATCGAGCGGGAGTACTCGGAAAGCCTCAGGTCACAGGCATACTCGGGAGTACTCGGGAAGCCTCAGGTCACAGGCTCAAGACCCCATTATGTCTCAAGGCTCAAGGCGGGCCCATTCTCGCCAGACCCCCCCTCCTTTTTGCCACGCCCCCCCTGGTGAAGAAGGGGGCATCTCCGGGCCCCAAGAGGTCCTGGGAGGCCCCAGAACGCTCCAGATGGGATCTCACATTAGGCCTCGGGCCACCCGCGCGGATAGCGGGACCGCCTCCCACAGGCGTCTCGGGGTTGGCCTGGAGCTTTCCTGGGGGGGGACGTCGGGGAGGGCCTGCTTCTCAGAAGGTTCAGGAGGCCTCGAGCATGCAGCATGCAGCATGCCGCTCTTAGAAGGCTTCCCAGAAGGCTCACTTCCCTCTTAGGCCCTTGGGTTCTCTGCCGATCTCGGTCAGTAGCCAGTTGTCTCAAAGTCGACAGCGCCAGGCTGTGCATGCTTGAGCCTGTGCATGCTGCATGTAGCATGCACAGCATGCATGTAACATGCACTCGATGAGGATACCCGAAGAATTCATCCGAACCCTCACTGCCCTTGTAAGGGCCTCGACTGGCGCAGATTGGAGGGGTCGGCAATCTTCCAACGTTCAGGGCCATAGGCATAGGATCTTTCATTAGGCCTTGGGCCACCAGCGCGGATAGCGGGACCGTCTCCCACGGGCATCTCGGGGCTGGCCCGGGGCCTTCCTGGTGGGGACGTCGGAGAGGGCGGGCTTCTCAGAAGGTTCAGAAGGCCTCGAGCATTCCGATCTCAGAGGGCTTCTCAGAAGGCTGACGTCCCCCTTAGGTTCCCAGCCGATCTCGGTCCGTAGCCAACTTTCTCAAATTCGACAGCGCCAGTCTTTGCATTCTTCCGTGCGCCCAATGAGGATACCCGAAGAGTTTATGCGAACCCTCACTACCCTTGTGAGGGCCCTGGCCGGCGATGCTTGGGAGGTTCGGCAATCTTCCAACGTTCAGGGGCTTCTCTGCGCCGGCCTTCGGCCCATCCCGAGCTCGGGGGAAAAAGGGGGGGTGGGGGAAGACGAGGCGAGAGGAGGGGGGGGTGATGAGGATAAAAAGGGAGGGCGAGAAGGAAAGGGGGGATGTCATATAATTTAATATATAATGACAAACAGAGTCACTAGAGAGGGGGGAGGGGGAAAGCGAGGGCAGATAGAAGATAGAGGAGGAACATGGAGAATCTTATCCTCCAGGGCCGCTCACGCGGCGGCGGATATTTCTACAATTCCGCTGGGGGAGCTTGCAGATTCACGGTCCCTGGCCCGGACAGTTCGACTACGGAGAGCAGGTCGTGGCCATTTGGCGGGGGTCGCGAGAATAGCGACAGTGGCGGCGGAGGCGGAGGCGGCGGCGGCGGCGGCCAGGCCAGTGCGCCTAAGGGCGGAGGCTGCGCTGCCGCGGCGGCGAGCTCGGGCGGTGAGTCTCGCAGCGATTCTCGCAGCGACGGCTGCTACAGTATTCGCATGAGTCACAGCGCTTGCGAGGCCGTAGTCCCAGAAAGGCTCGACGCCAGCCACTACGTTCCCGACCAGGGCCATGCGATGGGCGCCGGCGTGGTGAGCGGCAAGGGCAGCGGCATGGCCGACAACGGCGGCATTGGCAACGACAGCATGATGATGCGCGACCTAGGCCAGACGATCGGCGCCGGCGTGGTGACGGGCAAGGGCAGCGGCATGGCCAACAACAGCGGCAGTGGCAACGAGAGCATGATGATGTGCGACCAAGGCCAGACGATCGGCGCCGGCGCGGTGACGGGCAAGGCGGGCATGGCCAACATCGGCGGCAGTGGCAACGACAGCATGATGATGTGCGGCAACGGCAGCCCGATGATGCACAACGCCATGGGGTTGGCCAAGATGATGGGCAGCGGCGATTGGGTGCTCATTCCGCGAATGATGCCTGGCGGCGACCAGGTTGTCGGTGGCTGCGGCGGCTTTGGCATGGGCGTCAATGGCCTCGGCTTGCCCAAGATTTGGAGCGGTGGCATCCCCAGGGATGAGCGGGAGCCTACCACGCCTCCCCTCGCGTTCCATTCTCCCAAGCCTCCTGCTGCACCTCCGCCAGTCCACCTCCGCGGGCCATGCTTGGGCAAAGCATCTTCGGTCAAGGCCTTGCCGATGTTGCCGCCAGCATCTCATTCTTTCGTGGCTACCCCAGCAGCGTCGCCAGCTACCCCTTTCGTGGCCCCCGTAATGTCAATGCAGCAGCCCCCGACGCGTGCTGTGCCCAAAGCGGCGGTACTTCCGGCGGAGTATCTTCCATATTAGTTGGCCCAGCGGAGAGAGGTTTTGAGTGGTGAAATCATAGCGGCGGTCATCTTCCCCTCGCCTTTTTTCATAAGGCTCTGCGACAGGCACGAAGCCCCTAAGAGGCTAAGACCCACGGGCCCCAGGACCCCAATCTTAGGGCCATCTTGGGCAGGCTACATGTGTTGCATGTTGGGGCCATTTCGGAGCTTCCTTGGCCTCCAAATCGGTCTGACTCTTGATCTTATTCTTGATTTTTCAGACTGGTATAAAATCAGGGGTGTCCGAAAGTCAAGAGCAAGAACCGCTCTGCACCTCCAAGCTTCCCCCCGGGGGCCATCTTGGGGCCACCTTGAGCCAGCTGGGGCTGGTTTGGGGCCATCTTGGGGCCATTTGGGGCCACCTTGGTCTCCAGATCGGCTCTTGCTGTTGATTTTCAAACCGATCTAAAATCAGGGGCGTTCCAAAGTCAAGAGCTCGGTGGCGCGGGGGGGGCAGGGCAGATAGGTAGATACAGTCGGAGTTGATTAGTAGGTCGACCATGCCATATCAAGGGTGACCTTGCGTCCTTCCCGTCGAACGCCTCTGCAGTTCTGGGGTCAGGGTGCCATCGGAATAGTCTTGCGTCCTCTCGGGTGTCATGTCCAATCGACCCCGACTGTAGGGCAAGTTGATTCCCCGCCGGCCCAGGTTTGCTCAGCTGCAAGGCCGTGTCAGCCATTGCCTCTGACATGTTCCACACCAATATCACTTTCCGCCACGTCTTTGCGTGCGAGTTGGTCAAGTGGAAGCGCGACTTCATCATGCAACATCACCAGCCCGAAGCGATGTATGCGGATCTCGAGGAACTTATCACGGTGGACTTGCCAAAAAACGTTCTGACAGGCGAGGGAAAGGCAGTTGAGAGAGTTCATATTTTTGTGACAGGGTTCGAATGCGATTCCATCGCGAGCTATAACAAGAAAAGGGGCAGCTACATCGGCACTTGCATCCAGGCCGCAAAAGGTAAGACTGGCAAGACAGGGGCAATGACCTTGAAACTTATCGCTAAGCTTCTCCCGTGGATTGTTATCTTGGAGAATGTGAAAAACCTACTCAACGGCTTAGAGGGCAAGACGCAGAAGGACATTCACAACATCTTGGACATCCTTCAGGACCTCGGGTACATCGTCCGGATCAAGCTGCTTTGCCCCACCACGTTTGGGGTGCCCATGTACCGCGCGCGGGCGTGCATCATTGCGTTCAGGGTTGCCGGAGATGGAGGGGCCCCCTTGCCCAGTAGTTTCCCGTGGGTGACCGATTTCGGTTTGGTGCTGGACAATTTGCATATGCCAATGGCCCCGCTGTCTGATTTCCTCCTTCCAGATGACCACCCTTCCATAGCCAAGTGGCACAGCGATATTGGCAAGGACGAGAAGACCGATGGGGAGCCAGGGAAGTACAGGTATGAGGTCGACCACATGGAGGCGTTCTTGGGCCAGAAAAAAACGTATCCACCTGACTATGGCGATTACGGTCAACACGTGGCTTTTCTTCCGCGCCGTTTCAAGGAGCGGCGAGGGGGGGGGGGGATGCATTGTGATTGTCGTTGCCTGGCTTGTTTCTCGCTATCCCTACCTGTGTGTATCACTGATACACACAGGTAGGGATAGCCCTTCCTAATGGCTGATACAGTATCAGAGTATCAGCCTTCCTTAATCCCCGCCTCCCTCGATCCCATGAATCTCTCACCTTTTCTCTTCGTCCTTGCCCCATTCTCGTTATCCCTGCCGTCGATCTTCCTCGTCCTCCCACCGCTCCACCTCCCCTCATCCCGCCTATCCCGTCGCCCTCGCACCCTCCCAATCCCTCCCTCTCCGCTCCCCCTCCCCCTTCCTCACGACATGCATCGATCTATCTCTCTCCCCCTCTCGACCTCTCCATGTCAGGAGCGCGCTTTCCTACACCACCTCGACGCTGCCAACGTTGAGGGAGAGACTGCGGTGGATCTGAATAACAGCATGGATTATGTTTTGGGCGCGAGGCCAGATGTCATATTCGTTCTGGCATCGACGAGCAGGCCGTGGTTGCGATTGAGGACTCGGTGCATCACCGGGGGGGAACGCTTGCACCTGCAGGGTTTCGATTACCGCGAGCAGATATTGAACGACGGCAAGATCAGCTTCGACAACCCGAAGTGTTTCGACCTGGCTGGCAACATGTTCAACGGCTACGTGGTGGCGGGCCTCATGCTCTCGGTCACGTCCCAGGTCGATTGGGAGCTCCTCAGGGATATTTGGCGGGCGCAGCAGGAGCGCAGCAACTGGGGCGAGGATGGGTCTCTCGATGGGGAGGCCCTCGACGATGGCGATGGCGCTGAAGGTGGTGATGGTGATGCCGAGGCTGCCTCAGAGGATTTTTCAGAGTCAGACTGATGGCGGCCGACGCAAGCAGCGTTGCGAATGGGCCGTGTAGTTTAATGGGGGAGGAGGAGGGAGGAGGACAATGAGCGGGGAGGAGGAGGAGGGAGGAGGAAAATGGGCGGGAGGGGGGAAGAGGAGGAGGAGGAGGACGCCGCCATTCCCGTGACCCCGGGCCCGCGACAGCCAGAGGGATGAAGGGTGTTTAGTTTTGATGTGTGCGGCTGAGAGCTGCGCACGGCCCCTTCCGCGCCCTTCTAGCAACTCGCTCGAGGAGGGCCGCAGCGGGCGAGGCCGCCAGGTCGTTGACGGCTGGGGTCGCCCGATTGCGAGTTTCGGTTTTAGCCGTGCAGTTGGTGCTGGCTGATCGCGGGCCCTCGCGGGCGCGTCGGGCTCGAAGGATTCGCGTGTGCTCGAAGGCCATTGCGAAACGAGCTACCCTGCCTCCTCGCCCCACTGCCCTTCGCTTTCCTCGCCCCTTGCCCAGTGCCCCCCCCTCCTGCCGCTCTTCCACCGCCCGCCCGCCCCGTCGGCCCAGCCAGGGCTAATAGCCTGAGGCTATCCTTACATCCCTGCCTTTCGGCCGATTCATCACATTGAATCGGCCCAGGCCAAAGGTTGTCCACATTGAGCATCCAAGGGCCTTGCATCCTAACTATAAGACACTATAAGACAACCGCGAGGCATAGGCATAGGCCATAGGTAGCATCATCGCAAGCAAGTGCGAGGCAACGCAAAGGCAATCAAACCAACTCAAACAAAAAAACAACGCCAACCAAAGCTATCCGGAGCGAGGCGAATCAGCCGAGCAAGCCAGGCAAAACATCGCGGGACAGAGCAGGTGACAGAAGATTCTTCGCTTCGCGCGGCCATGAGCTTCTTGGGGTTTTGACCCGGGGGCTGGGCAACAGGGGCAATGGCCAAGCGGACCCTAGACGAGACGGCGGCTGCTCCAGCGGCCAAGGTCCCAAGGCCAGCGCCCTCAGTGCGAGGGGCGCCGAGGAAGCCCAGAGGGGATGGGGGCTCGCAGAGTGGCCGCTCTGCGGGCGCTGGACAGCGCACCCGGGCCGAGTCGAAGCAGCAGCATGGTGCGGGTCTTCCCAGCGCAGTCGCTTTGTGTCCACCAGTGCCTGACACGGGCCTAAAGTTCGACGTGCCCGAGGGTATCCCCGAGAAATCGTGCCCCATGCTGTGCGGCAGGTGCAATTACAGCGAGGAGCGAAAGGGGGGGTGGGACGCAG